AGATTAGGGTCTGCGAGACCCAGGTTCAGATCCCCATCTTGCGGAGGAAGCTGACTGGGTGATTTTGGACCAGTCACATACTTTCAGCCTAGCCAACCTCACAGGGTTGTTGTGCAGATAAAAAGGAGGAGAGAATAATGTAAGCTGCTTTGGTCCCCACTGTGGAGAAAGACTGTAACTTTCCTAGGTAGAGGCTGTGGGGGAGGGGGGGAGACGGAAAGTTGAAGACAGAGAGGCAGATAAAGGTAGGTAGGCTGTTGGGTGGGAAGGAAATTGTGTTGCCAATTCCAGGTTGGTAAATTCCTGGACATTTGAGGGGTGCAGCCTGGGGAGGGTGGGATTTGAGGAGGGGAGAAACTACAGACCAGTATAATGCCATAGACTCCACCCTCCAAACCATACATGGAGGAGAGAAAGAAAGAAAGAAAGGGGGGGCAGAAGGGAGAAAGAGGGTGAGAGAGGTAGGGGGAGACAGGAGGAAGCAAAGGCGTGAGGAATAGGATAACCATACACCCTCCAAACCATACATGGAGGAGAGAGAGAAAGAAAGGGGGGGCAGAAGGGAGACAGAGTGTGAGAGAGGTAGGGGGAGACAGGAGGAAGCAAAGGCGTGAGGAATAGGATAACCATCCCACAAGTTTCTTGTGGGTCTCCACTTGTCAATACTAAAGGTCATGTTACCAGCAGTCATCTTGCTTTGTGAGGCCTGATGTAGGTGCCACAAGACATTGTGACTATTGAGGCCATGTTGAGCTATTTTCAAGAGGGAGGCATAAGGACATAGAAATATAGACTTCAGATGAACTCTGGCTTAGTCATTATGGCCGGTGCCATAGGTAATGAAGCAAGGTAGTGTGGAAACAATGGAAACAAATACGTAATTAAGTTGGTGTCAAATGGCAGTTTTTTCAGACAGTTGATAGGAGAGAAACATCATTTCTCATATTTTAAAATCCTATTTGATTAGAGATAATAGAGAAAATAAACAAGTGTGTACACTGCAGACACCTCATAGCACTTTAAATTATTAAAAACTGACTGTGTCCACCATATGACATTCTGAATTTAACTCTTGATGAATAATCAAAACACAGAGCACTCCGTCTGACGACTTGAAGCATTTCAGATAAAGAGTACTGGGTGTTTGACTTTTCTCCTTTGAAGCTTAAAGTTGACATTGATTTTCCCAGTTTGTAGTGGCATCCCTCTAGGAACTTTTCCACTTATAGCTTGATCCTGGTGGAATTATTGCAAGTGAATGAATCGCACTAAGTTCTGCTGAGCAGTGCTTGTTTCTGTGAAATTTTGTGTGTGTGTGTGTGCGTGATTGTTTCTGTGAAATTTTATATATAATTTTATATATATATCCCTTATAAATAAAAGCCGAATGGTGGTGGCACTTCTCTAGAACATTCCACATGCTCCAAAATCAGTTCGCTCTCTGATCTGTCATTCAGAGGGTCTCCCTATCCACTGACTGCTTTGCCTGAGTCCTGCCTCCAACATTCTAAACATTTTGCTGTTCCTCTCCCCCCCATAGCCAATCAGAACACAGAGGTTATTTGCAT